ATATATACTGTATGTGTGTGTATGTATTTATATATAATAAATAAACACAGTATACACACACACATTATGCAAACAAAAACTGTTATTTTGTATGCGATTAATCGTTTGACAGCACTAATATATATGTGTGTGTTGGTGTGAAAAGATATTAATGCTGCTATTAATTATCATGATATTATATCTATTATACTGTTTTGTTGTATCCATTGTGAATTTGCTTGTGATTCATACTGATGTATATTTGTTTACATTTTGCTGTGAATAGGCCATCTGCAATTTTTGCATTTTATATGAATAGTCCTTTAGTAGGTAAACAAGCAAGAAAAGCAGTCACGATCTCTCTCCAAACAGCTGTTTGAATTAATCAAGATAATGATTTCTTTCCCCAATTAATCCTTAAAACAACTTTTACATGCTGTACATTTGGAAAAACCAGCTGTCACGCAACCTGAGGGTGCAGACATGTTTCTAGAACATCATTATAGTTATTCTCATTTCCTCTGCATCTATCTGAAACATAGTACATAATTCTGATGTTCTGACTTGTTCAAACCAGTTTTTGACCAGGATGTCAGGACCTTTCCCTATTTTTCTTTTGTCAAATTGGAAATAGTAGTATTCCACAGTCAGAATGTTTGGTGATTAAATTACATTTGTTACAATTACATTTACATTTACATTTAAATTACATTTGACTCAAATAGCTGCTCTTGGTGGACGTAGGCTTGGTCACTCATCTACTCGGACTGCTACAATTTTTTTTACAAATGATTCTGTGACTTTGCTCATAATTGTTTTTCTGTTCTACCCCAGGATCGTCAGTTGAAAATTAAAGACCTAGTGTTATCTGCTCATGAGCGAGCCGTCAGGAACTGTCCCTGGACCATGGGCCTGTGGAAGAGCTATCTTTTGGCTCTAGAGAGGCATGGGGCTGACCATCAGACAGTGACAGGTACTTTCAAAATAATAAATAAAACAAAAGGAAAGGCAGTATCTGGGAATTAAAACATCTTATTCTAATTATGCTAATCACAATATTGGCTTGACATTTTATGTGAAGTTTCTTTACATTTATTTTTGAAAGTCCCACACTCATCGGCCACTTTATTTGTTATACCTTGCTAGTATCTAGTTGTGGCATACACTCAAGTTGCTGGAAACATTCCTCAGAGATTTGGGTTCATATTGACGTCATCGCATCACACATTTGCTGTAGATTTGTTGGCTGCACATCCTTGATGCAAATCTCCCATTACCCAAAGTGCTCTTTTGGATTGAGATCTGGTTACTGTGGAGGGCATTTGAGCATAGTGAACCCATTATCATGTTCAAGAAACCAGTTTGAGATGATTTGAGCTTTGTCACATATGGTGTGTTATCCTGCTGGAAGTAGCCATCATAAGATGGGTACAGTGTGGTCGTATAGAGATGGACATGGTGAGCAACAGTACTCAGGTAGGCTGTGGAGTTTAAACAATGCTCAGTTGGTACTAAGAGACCCAAATATTTAGATATTTGCCTTAAGCATTTGAACAAGTTTACCTAATAAAGTGGCCGGTGAGTATATAGTATGAGTAGTCATAAAGTCAAGAAATCAAGCAAGTTCAATGATCAAAAGAAATGAAAGAAATGAAAACACTGTTAGCAATATTAAATCAGTTTATGAATGGCAGAAACATTTTGCAGGAATGGAACAAATGATTTTAATACACAAGGCTTGACATTGCCAAGCATTATAATTTCTTTGTTTTCAGATGTGTTTGAAAAGGCCCTGAACGCAGGGTTCATCCAGGCGACTGATTATGTAGAAATCTGGCATTCTAATCTGGGCTACCTGAGAAGACGTGTTGATTTCAGCAAAGGCAAGAGCATATGTTTTTTTTTTCTGTTTTACTACTGGTATGCTCTTACATTCTCAAGTTTTGACCGCTGATATCAGATGAGTGAATTTGATGATTTATTATTGATGGATTTGTTGATTATTGCAGAATGGAGCAGGGAGTTGGACGAGCTGCGGGCAGCTTTTGCACGCTCCCTTGACTACCTGAAACAGGATGTAGAAGAGAGTGAGTATCTTGTCTGTTTTTATGAGGTATGAGAGCACTTGTAGTAAAAAGACACATGTAACTACTATCTCGCTTCTCAGGGTTCAGTGAAAGTGGAGATCTGTCCTGCACAATAATGCAGGTCTGGGCAAGGATAGAGGTGAGGAAACACTATACTGTTGCATCTGTCCATCCTCCATTAACTAATGTCGTTCTGCTGATTACAGTCTGTCCGTAGTTGTTACAGTGCTGCTTGTGTTTGATTGCTTTAAACAGGCCTTACATTGTAAGAACATGCAGAAGGCCCGTGAACTGTGGGACAGCATCATGACAAAAGGGAATGCGAAATATGCCAACATGTGGCTGGAATATTACAATCTGGAAAGGTCAGTTGTTTTCATCAGTTTGTGCATCCGTTGAGTTGTTTTCACTTCCATTGATGCACAAGATGCTTTTTTGGATCATTCTCAAATTATGCTGGAGAACATGATCAGCAGGTTTTTTGCAAATTTGAGGAGTTCATTAAATGTTGATTAAATACTCTGAAATTCATTTTAATTTGAGAAAAAAAAGTGTTCATTTGAGGACAAAAAGGAAGCATTTTCACTAGTGGTCTTAGATTTTTAGACACTGTATTATTGCTGCAAGCAGTGGTTCTCAACCAGGATCTGATCAGAAATACCAAAATTATCTCCGTCTATAATGGGGGAGCCTTTGAATATTGTGTTATACGATGAGTACCTTTGAGTCAAAAAAGTTTTAGAACCATTGTGTTTTAAAGATGACATAAAACAACCTTTGCAACACATTTGACGTAGCAGAATATTCAGGAAGTAATGTAGGGGATAATGTTTATCCATCAGGATTTGACTGGATCAGAAGGGGGTTGTGTGCAATAATATTAGTTAATATCATTTTTCCCTTGACTGTGAGACTTTGGTTTAGGGCTGTGCAAAAAATCGAATGCGATTTTCATGCTCATCTCGTCAGTAAAGCCGGTTCTGTGATTAGTAGTAAATATCCAGCACATGCTTTCAGATGGAGCGGCATTTACTACACAGAGCCGTAGATCACTGACAAGCTACGCAAAATCGCGTTCAAAATCGCAGGCGATTCATTGCCGATTATGAACGCGATTTTGCGTAGCTTGTCAGTGAACTACGGCTCTGTGTAGTAAATGCCATTTGCGCAGCCCTACCTTGGTTATATCAGCAGAAAAATCAATTCTGTTTTATGGATTGAGCAAGTTATTACATTTTAATGAAATTATGAAAACAAACATTTGTGACCTGTGCTGGCAAAACGAACCTTCAAAATTATGTATGATTTGTGGGAATCGACCAAAGAAGACTAAGCTACACCTGGTTAAAGTCTATAGAGTCAGCAAGTCAATTTTGAGAACATTTATAAAATCGAACTACTGTAATGCACAGATCTAATATAATGTTACGCATTCAGACTCATTTTGCCAGCACTTGTTGCATTTGTTATCTTCAGAATAATTTGTATTTATAATAAGTTAGGGGTTGAGCTTATTTTGATTTAATATTATTGTCTTTAAAACTTTAACGGCAGGTAAAGGCTGCTGTTTTATCTCTGTATGTATCTTTGTGGATCAGGTCATATGGAGATGCTGCTCACTGCAGGAAGGCTCTCCACAGAGCTGTACAGTGTACATCAGACTACCCTGAGCATGTCTGTGATGTCCTGCTCAACTTTGAAAGAGTGGAGGGTGAGTTAATTGATGCATATATAGATTTCTGTTTATATGGGTGCCCAGATTTGTAGGGTTTATGTGGATGTTGTTGTCTCTCACAGGCTCTCTGGAAGACTGGGATGCTGCAGTCCAAAAAACAGAGACTAAACTCAACAGAGTCAATGAGCAGAGAGCAAGAGTAAGTCCTAACTAGTCTTTATGGGATTTTCTGCATACCTGGCATGCATTTCATTTTTTATATATGTCCTTTTTTTCAGAAGCAATGTAGTGACAAGCGAGCAGATATACAGTGCACAGCATAAATGAGTACACCCCCTCTGATTAAATATAAAAGATGTATTTTCTTAATGATCACTAATATAATTCATAGAAAGATGGCAAAATTGAAATTTATTAAACATATTCTTAATAAAAACAGAGAAATACATGCCATTAATATCTGTAAACTAAGAAACTTTGTTTAAATTAAGGATTGCAGAATTGAGTACAACCTAGATTTAATTCAACCAAGTGTAATATTCTAGAACTTAATATGTCCTCCATAACTCTAAGTACACTGCTCTGACACTTCTTGGCACTGAGTGTACAAGTTCATGACAAATTTTCACATCTGTGCTGTTTAACTCCTGGAGGACGACCTCCTTAAATGCCCTGGTCTTTAATGGGGAGTGTTGCTCAGCTCATCTCTACAGAATCCTCCACAGCTGCTCAAGAGCGTTAAGATTGAGTGAAATACATGTTTGTAAATATGGGCCTTGGAAAAAGCTAAATGAGTTTATTGTGCTTTGGCTACAGTCGGTAGTTCTGGTGTGGATAAATAACCATGCATGTCACTTCTGCATGCTGCATCTTACTCTGAGATAAAGTGTCACTCTTTTCACAACTTTTGCCGGCTCTGAGACACTTTCACAGTGTTTCTCCTGCTCTTTTTCTAGCAAAAACTCACTCATCACTAAATGAAAGCTTAAAGTGAAGACCTGATTATTTCAGGCGCCTTTTCACAAGTCCATTGTTTTTGAATTTCTGTGTAACTTTGGCTATATTTTCACACTTAAAACAATAATTTGGTATTCCTCTTGTACCATTGTCCTTGGTGTGTGAATTCATGACAGCGTTGATAAAGTACAACTCCCTCACACCTTCAGCACACATACATCCCTATAGAAGAGCTTTACTACCACTGAATGCCACTGTGGGAACCAGGCACTACTCTCTGTACTCCTCCTCTAGCAACACCAGAACATTTTGGATGCGGTTAGATCCGAAATAATTGAATTGGTCTCATGAGACTAGAGTATGGATTCCCAGAAGTCTATATTTTGTAAATATGGGCCTTGGAAAAAGCTAAATGAGTTTATTGTGCTTTGGCT